TGGGAAAACAGTTTATTACTTATTTTACTTGACTCTCTATTATGTTTATTGTCATAGTTAATCAGTAGAAATTTGTAACAGATACAAATAAACAAATTAAAATTTTACTTTTATTTAAATTAACTTCTTTGTTATGCTGACCTACTTGATAGAGGTATGTTTTTTATTAATGGGTGAATTTTGATTTTGAAATTTAGAAATTAATAAATTGCACTTATCTGGTAAAATTAAAAATTCGCAATCGTGCGTTTCTTGTTTCCATCTTGAATTCTTGACATCCACTTTAAAATTGAAACAAACGAGGCACGAGTTGGAAGTTTCCTCTGTAATTCCCATGCGACAGCTCTGATTGACTGTGAGACGGCGGCTGGATGGAAGGGTGAAGTTTCAGGGAGTGAATTTTGCAGCGTGCAAAAAGCGCAGCTAACAAGATTTTCATTTCGGAATTCCAGCGAGGTGGCAAAATTGCGCGCGGCGCGAGTTGAAGAAAGAAGAAGAAGCATGTTGAAAGCGCAATTTGTCACAGTCAAGCGCTACTACCGTCGGCGGCGGCGGCGGCAGCTGCGAAAATGAATGTTATGCAACACTCTTGGCGTCGACGTCGTGCAGGCTGCAGACGCGTCGCCCGCCCGCCTGCCAGCTCTGAAATTTCAAACCCCTTCCTTCATCCCCAGCAGCTCGCGCTTATTATTAAATTTGGCCAAAATTTATCATATTTCGCCGCTAATGAAATTCCGAGAGGGTAAGAACGATGTCTAATTCTTTGCAACTGACGTTAATGGAGTTATTTGATGATGAAAAGGTCTCCTGTCAGAATAAAAAGGTGAGTTAGCAGAAATTCGTGTCTTTTTTATTGCTCTGATTGTTAAAAAGTAATTTGTTTACAATAACGTTGGAAATAAATATCACAGCTGCATCAGAGATATGAAATTTTAAAATGAAAGTTTTAATTACTGAGGTGGAAAATTAATTGAATTTAAAAATCGATTCAGTGAAAATACAATAAATTAATTGTGTAGCTATTTTTCCTTTTTTTTTTTCTAGAGAAGAAACATTTGTTGATTTGTTCATTCAGAGGCAATCATATTCCATGATTTTTTTTTTATTTTGCTCTTGATTTTGATGCGATTGCCTCTAATGAATGTGAATTTTATTTATAAATTAAAATAATTTTGGAAATGAAGAGATCGGGCTTTTCCTCGTTGCAGAAAAATTGTTTTTATTCAAAAACAAATGGCTCTACCAGTTTCGGTCACGGTCTGCGACCCTATTTCATGAGCAAAACGCGCTGCTCGCTGACTAATACAAGTAATTTTATAAATAATATTGTTCACTGGATAGTGTTAATTTGAAAACAAAAATCAGTAAAGTTAATAAATACGCTGCTGTATTAATAACTCAGCTGGTTTCCTTTTTGTTTGACCTTGACTAATCGTTGTAGTGCACAAAAAGTGCGAAATTTGAAATTCCAAGAACGACATTGGCCCTTTCCTGAGAAAGCGTAAAAGCTGGCAGCGCATTACAAATGAAGTTATTTGTAAAATAACTGCTAAGCGTGCTGAATAAATTGTTTTTGCTTACTCGGAGCATTATTAATGGTGGTGCCAGTTGTTTGTTGTTGCCATTATCCTCTTTTTGGTTTTGCGTTCGTGCTGAGCAAAGAGAAGAAACTATTCAAGAGGGCATGTCTCATTAAACTCTGACACCAGCAGAATCGATTTGTCTCTGAATAGCAAACAGCCGAAGCGAGATTTGCCCTTTATAAATGCACACGCCGATGAGTCGCGGCAGCATAGATTTTCGCGAGCAAACACCCACATATGCATTCAGCCCCTGTCAAATAAGAGGCACGTTTATTGTCCGAGTGAACGTGTGCGTAAATAAACGAGAAACAATGGGGCCGCGTCAATCCGTTCGCGTTTGAATAATAGATCCACTCCGCTCATATTTCTTTCCTTCGTGAGTCGAGCGTCCTATTTTCACTGATGATTAATGTGTCTGGCTAATTGCACAATTAGCTGAAAATTTATTTAAATGAATTATCTATAGTTGGTTCAATGTGGAATAAAAATAAACGCCTACTCTGCCACGAATTAGGTAACACAGTATTTAGAGCATGATTATTAATTTGTGTTTATCTACAATTGTATCGAAATTGGGCCTGTGAAAAGCATTTCAAAATTAAATCAAAAACAAGTTAAACCAAATTTGGATGTACATTAAATCTCAACTAATCAAGAATAAATAATCTTCACAAAATGAAAATAACAATTCAAATTTATATTAAAATTTTATTAAATTAAAAGTAATATTTATATTACTTTGGAAAACATAAAAGTGAAGTGACGATTTAATAAAATAAATTTTATTTTACATTCTACTTTGTTTTGTTTTAGTTGCAAATCAGTTTTGACCTTTGTGAACAGATAAGCTGAGGAGATTAGATAGCATACTGTGTGATTATCATTAGTATTATTTTTAATTATGAATTTTATTATATAAAATTTTCATTATAATATAAAAATATTATTCTTTGCTTATGCGAATTTTAAAATGGACAAAAGAAAGGATTAAAATAAAAATACAAGGAATTATAGTTTTCCGAAAAGGGCGCATACATGTAAAAATTTAAAAATTCAAAGGACCTTTCAACTATGAAAGCGTTAACAGAAATTCCACAGTTGATTAATTATTGCGTTTGGAAATTCTGCTCCCGTAGGTGTGCGTTGGTCAGAACTATTCACTCTGCTTTGCCAGGGCCTATTTGCGTTTTGTGGTGTCTGGCGAGCAGATTAAGGAGACCAACTGCCGCGCACACAAAAAGCGCCGTCTAGCAAATTACACACGGACGTGCGAGGATAGCAAAGTGCAGAATAGCGAGGCGACTTTTGTTTCGCACCGAGAATTATTTAATCAATTGCCGCGCCGCGAATGGCCGCTCGTGAATTACTTAATTTCGGCGGTCGTATTTTCATTAGAGAGCCGAGTCCGCCTTAAATTACTTACGATTAGCCGCCGCGGACCGTTAAAATGCTCTAACCCCTAATTAATGCGGCTTTTTTAGCGCAGCGCGTGTCCTCTCGCACTTTTTACACTGATGAGCAAGAGATTGCCTTGTTTATTACGGGTGCAGGTCAGCAAAAAATAAGTGTGGGGCTAAATTTTGGCAATTTAGCTCCTGGAAAATTCATTTTATGCAAACGTGCTTTTAATTTGATTTTTTGTTTATCTGTTCAATCGTAATTTTATTTAGTAATTTTTTTCTCCCTGGGTTTGATTTTAATTTGGAGTATTTTTTAACAAGTTAAATGCTTTCCAGAATTTATCAACGGATAAATTTGAATTTAATAAAATCAGAGATGAACACAATTAAAATAATTAAATAAGTTTTGGTTCATATTAATTTAATAAACTATGTCAATATCAGACATATACATAACTAAATAATATGGATAATTTTAAAATATAGTGTTTATTTTGTTATTTTGAAACAAAATTAATTATTTTTAACTGAAAGTTAAAAAAAAAAAAATCAAACTTTGCTTGCGAAATTACAATAGAATTACCAACTGAAACCAATATATGTTTCAATTTATTGTTTGCAAGCAGAGAAATACATTAATTCAATCAGAAATTCTAAAGCAAGGTTTGGAGTTTTGAAGGATTGCGAGACTGCGGTTGAATAGCCGACAAAATCGAGTGCGCGCAAGAGGCGGCAGCGCTTGAATCGTAATTAATTCGATTCGCCTGATTCATTAAGCTATGTAGTTAGTTGGCCGCTTGTGAAGTTTCAATCCGTCAAGTTTGCTAACAAGCCTCTCAATGAAATTCCGCGGCTGTGCTGCTCGCGCGAATTTGCATCTTTTTAATGTGCCCAGAGATGAATAGATTTTATAGGCCACATCAAAAGCGGCGGCGGCGGCGGCGTTGAAACATAAGAGCCTTGAGGTTAGAGGTATTGCCTCCCTGGGGTGCCTTTTGAGCCGACGACTCCATTGTGCCGACGTAAATTTATACACACTCGGCTTGGTGCAGCTCGAAATGCCATGCACGTGGCACATAATGATATGTGTGTACATTTTATTAGGAGAGAGAGCGAGCGAGCAGTGTGGAAAAGCAAAGTTCACTCTGCGCGAGCTAACACCCGTATCACGGCGACATTTAAAAGGCATAAAAATATTGTACAAAAGGAAGGCCTAACCTTTCGTCTACCTTTAATATGTCAGGCCGGAGGATTGATCGTAAAGCTTGTGTACACACCGCGCCCATAGATAAAGCTGGCGAGGTGCTGATTACACCCATTGATTGGCGACTCTTAATGACGTGCCATGCACACAAACACCCAGATGGATTCATATTGCCACCCCTGCGCAGCGCCCCCCGCTCTCTCCACTTTAGTGCCGCCCCGAATGAGCTGTTGTCGATTTTATGTGCCCATAAAAGCATTTTCGAATCATTTCCGCCGATTTTTGCACCCCAAACTGCCCAGCGTATTAATTTTTATGTGTCCCTGCACTGGCCGAGCTGTGTCGTTCTCACTGGGGCTGAGGGCAGGTACCGAAAGTTATTGCCCTCACGGGTGCAAATTTCACTACAACTCAAAATTTTGAGGAAACATAATTTTTTTAAAAATAAAATGCACATCACTTAAATTTACATGTATTAATCAAAACGTACTCTCTTTAAAAAAAAAAAAAATGAGATCTAAATGAACAAGTACATAAACTTCCATTTTATAAGAATGATAAAAATTCTCTTTTTTTTCTTTTTTTCTTTAATAAATTAATTGGATACAAACTTTATTTTTTGAACGATCCTCTTGCACATTTGACCATGAATCCAGAACCGCGTTGATGCGTTGGGGGCAGTACGAGTGGTCGCTGGAGATGCTAAGGAGTTCATTTAACTCGTTTTTGAAAAGTGTTATTATTCATCCTTATTATATTATATTTATGAATTTGATTATTTTTAATGAAAATCACATATTCTGTGGTTCTTATGAAAAAATAAATTTACAGTGTAAATATATTACTTCCTTTATTGTACGATTTTCAAAAAGTCTTATAGCAACTCCAATACGCTCGTGGACAATGATTTTGGGCCAAAACTCCGTATGGCTGTTTAGACCCTACTCTTATAATATCCTTACTGCTTAAGTGATTCCATAAATGAATGCCTAGGCTGCTGCTGATTCCAATTATTACTTCATTTAACTTATCTTCTTCAAAAAGAAGTCTCCACCCATAATTTAGCGGATGGAAAACTGTTGGCGGAAAAAGTACAATGTTTGGACATTCATCACTTTTTGTATTGCCCAGCAAAGTCATATTGCATTCGCGCTGCAACATGCGGTTTATTAGCTGTGGACCATTGATCCCCCACTTTTCCCCATTGAAGTTACTATTAAACTCTTCTAAAATTTTTTGAGCGAATTTTTCTCCTTTTTGAAAGCCAAAAGCAGAGTTTGAGGTCAAATGAGGAGTCTCAAATGATATCCAATTGGCGGGCAAATCGTCTAGAGGGCGGAAGATGATCATGTCCAGGTCAAAATATATCCCGCCAAATCTAAAATGAAAAAAGTGAGATTAAATAATTATACTGATATAAATTAATTTTATCGACTTTCATTATATTTTTGTATAGGAAACCGTTACTTTTATTTTTATCAGCATCAAAATGAAAACATTGTTCTTGCAATTTGAAAGTGATAAATATTGCTGGGAAATAATTATATCAAAGGAACATTATGTATGAATGTTATTAATAAATACATCACTTGAGTTAAAAAGTTAACATACTAAAATTGAAATTTGAAATATATAAGGTGATATTATTCAGCTAGTGGGTACATCAATAAATGGAATTTTGTAGATTTTTTTTAAACAAAAATATTTTTTAAAACGAGTTTCTTGACAATTTATAACCTAAACTTGAAACGGGAAATAATTAAATTAGTAACTTTGACTAATCGCTTTTTACGTTTCGAGAACACGAGATATCTGACAGTGAGACAAAACCAGTGTAAAAAAATTAGAACATTCCTGTTGTGATGATAACAAATATTAATTGAGGGCGAAAATTTCCCAAAATTGATATTCTTTAAAACCAATGTATTAATGTTTTGTGCTGTATACATTTACGGACAGATTGGTGTGGTTTTAAAGGATATCAATTTTGGGAAAATTTCGCCCTCAATTAATATTTTATATTATCACAACAGGAATTTCCTAACTTTGTTCACTGGTTTTGTCTCAGATATCTCATGTTCTCAAAACGTAATTCCACGTAAAAGGCGATAAGTCGAAAGTTACTAATTTAAATACAGTTTTTTTACCTTAAAATTGTCAAAATTCGCATGGCGTTACTCCAATTCTCTACTGGGTAAAGGCTTTCGCCAATTTTTCCACTGTTCCACAAACTTTCCAGCGATGTCCCGTTAAAGTATCTCTCCGAACTGGTCTGCACGACTCTCACATTTTCGTAGTGGCGGACAACCAACTGCAAACCCTCGTCTTGGAGCAGTTCCGAGTTGACTGGTGGGTCAAGCAGGAGCAAGTAGACGTCCGCGAAGGGGTTGTATTTGGCCGCCGACTCAATGGAACACACCTGCCGAGGATTTATCGTCCCCCTTTTGGACGTTTCAATGAAGAAAATGGCTTTCCGTGATGTATTTCGAGCCTCCAAAGTGTCCAAGGCGTCCGTGACTTCCACCTGATTTGCGCCGTCGTCTTTGGGCTTAGTGAAATCGCCTATTGTACTCTTTTCAATTATTGCGAACTCTTTGGGAATATCAATCACTATTTTTTCATGAAACAGATATTTTCGGTTTGGAGTGACAATATAAATCAAAATGGCAAGATGTACAATTAAACCAACCAAAAGTGGTAGCAAGATCCTACTATTACGACTCATTTCTGCCAACTGATGGTATCCAGTAAGCAATGACAAATTATAGCCAGGTTAATTCTGTCCTGTCAGTGTTTTTGCTTGAAAAAGTTTATCATTTTCTTTTATGCATGCTTGTTTAAAGAGGCAACCTAGTCCTTGCCAGTTAAGTTTGATAAAGTATCATAGTATCAGAAAATAAGAAAAGTATGTGACATAATAATAAACAGGAAACTACAAAGCAAACAACTATAATAGCAGCGCTTACAGAAACTTTTTAAAAATTCAACTGGTTCTTGCGATACTGTTTTCCCAATAAATGAACAATCAGAGAAGACCTTGACAATTTAAAAAAAATTAAGCAACTGCATCTACGTCAAATCATCGTTATTTACCAAATTTCTTTGTTTTAGGGAGATACATCATTAAATTAGGAAAAATGAGCTGAAATAAATTTTGCCTTTGCTTCCGATTCCCCAACCTACCAATATACCTTACATACATACCTGACCACTGAACGACTGAACACAAAAATTATTATTTTTGTTTGTTGTTGTTAATTTTATATTTTAAGAGGTCGCTCTAAATTAGATATTAGTTTGTAGAAGGTACATTTTAAAAATATCAAACAAATTTTATTTCAATTGAATTTTAAATTATGTAGTGCTATAGAAATGCCATAAATTCCATTTTAATATCTTATATAGCTATCATTTGATATTCCTTAAGATATTATATCGTTGATAAAGGAGCAGAATAAGAATTATGCCCCTTGACTTTATTCAGTTTTTGCCTCGACTGAGCCGACTAGAATAACATTTGAATCTAGGCGAATGAATAATAAAAGTAAAACTGCTGTTCCGCTCAATGGCTGGCGTAAAAGTTTGTGGGTCTCGTGAATCTCTTTCTCCTCCCTGCTTTTGGGGGAGTGCAAATTTTTACTGCTTGTGACAGAGAAAGTTGCTAGTTTAAATTTATACAGCAGCAGCAGCAGTCGGAGCGCAGAGAGCTTAAAAAAGTCGCTCCGTGCCGGGGTCGCAGCAGAAAAAAGTGATTTTCAATTCGAGTGAGCCGGCGCTGCAGACCCGAACCACCAAATCACCCCATTAAGCACCGCTTTATTATAAATCGCGCGCAGTCTCAAGACGGCGATTTATGAGCCACAGGCCAATCCAATACCATTTAATTTTAAGGCACGCTCCAATTGCGATAACAATGTTTTCTGTCCCTGGCTGTGCGATTTGTGAGGCGACGTTCAAACTTTTTATTAGGGAAATCGACGGAGAGCAAAAGTAAGTTTGCATAGCTGAAGCAGAAGGGAGAGCAAAAACGTAATAAAAAGTGTGAGACTTGCCTCTTGAAAGCTTTTGGCACCGATCATAGTCTGAAACAAAATTGAGAAAAAAAATTATTTATTTTTGATTATAAACTCAAAGTTAAATTCAATTACGAAATGATCATAAATATTATAAAATAAAAAATAAAAATAAATTAGCGATCAATATTAGCCATTGGTTTTGGGTCAGGTATTTCATTTTGGTTATTATAGTCCTATTTCTCAAATTATATTTTATATTTTATCATTATTATTATTGTTTATTTGTCCACATTGTTACAAAACATTGATTACATACAAGTGCTGAAAATAATTTATTTAGAAAAAGAATACAAAAAGACACCACCATTAGTAGCAATCTCAATAAAACTTCTTGAATTGCATTGAATCAATAAAAAAATTATTACAGAAAAATCTTACATCCGATGATTTAGTCAATGTTTACTTTTTCATAAAATTACGTAAATTTTAACTTATTTTTAATTTTAATAACGATTTTAGCAGATTTAATTGTGACAAAAGATCCAAAAATAAGTAAACAAAAAAAATATTTTTATAATTATAATTATTCTTTTAATAGTACATTTTTGTTAGTTATATTTTCTAACTTTTTTTGATGAAGTTGTTTGGAAGGGAAATAAAAAAATCGATGGCGCACGTGTCCGAAGTCGCAACAGAGCAAAAAAAGCCCCTTGAGTCGGTGCAGGGCACTTTCGCGTACACGGCCGAGAATTATCATTTGCCGGTCTGGAGTCATTTGCGACGCGCACACGCATCGCTCTCCAAATTGCTCCACTTGTAGAGAGACTCACCCTTTCTGCCTTGGCTGGCGACTTTTTCAAAGACGTTGACAAAACGCCGCCGCCGCCGCCGGAGCCACCGAGAGTAATAAGCACTGCAAAGCAGCCCTCATTGTTTGGCCCTCAGTCAGGGCGTCGTTGTCGTGCATGACTTGACGCAATTGCGTATGTACCCTGCTTGCTTTACATAGACCACCCCATAGCAGCCAGGCTCGCTCGCCAGCAGCTTCTGCTTTTGTGCCCGTTTTCGCAAGATGGAAATTTTGCACCACTGTTGCTAACCGAAATCTCTCTCTCGCTCTTTCGCTAGTGTGTGTGTCTGCCCTCTTTTTTTCTCCGGCCGCCGCCGCGAGTGACTCTGTTTGTCGCCGAAATCGATACTTTAAAGAGCGAGTCACGGAAAATGAGAGCATTGCGCTTTTGCAGTTAGCAAGAACGTGTGACAAATTTCAATCACGTATTTTTTGGATTATAAAATTTTGTATGAAAATTTTAATTACGATTCGCATAAAATGGTACCCAGTTGTTAATTTTTTTGTTAATTATTGAAAAGCGTGTTTAAAGTAATTGTGTATAAAAATAGAGAAATTTTGACTATTGATAATTATGTAACAACATTCAAAGCTATTTTACCTTATGAATGTAATAAATGTTTAATAAATATAAATAGGTAATTGTCATTTACCTAATTATATTCAATTAAATTACTAATTGAAATTACTAATAATTGAATGGTGTTTGTGATCTCAAAAATTAAAAAAAAGTATATTTTTGTTTATTTGTCCAATTGTTGCATCATATTGTTGACAATATGATGAATTAAGCAACACTGAAATTAAAAGAAAAATAAATAAATAATATTACATGCTCAAATTAAATAAAATTAAATAGATTTGGGTAATACAATTGAGGTCTATAGGATCAATGTTTGTAATTAACATTTAATAAAATTGAATAACTTGTCTCTTTGCCTTGTCCGTAATTGTGACACCGTCTTTTCATTTCAATTATTATACAATTATTTCTACTCAAAATAATTGTGTTGAAATTCATACTTTTCACTTCTTTTTTTTAATAAAATTTTTTTATAAGGTACCAAGGGAGTCAGGAATACTTGTGCAAATTGAGAAAAATAATTTTCTGGTCGTTTATCAGCATTTTAGAATGAGCGCAGTCGTGCAATCTAAACTACGAAGGTCGCTACGTTGTGCTTGATCAGCTGCTAATTGCTATCAACAAAAGCGCTTGGATGTAGTTACTCAACTGGCAATGTTTTGTTAATTTTTGAAACCTCACCATTTTCAGACTTGCTCCTTCCTGCGCTGATAAAATTCAGTAAAATAGCAATACTCCGTACTGCATTACTTTTGAAACGCAATGTTGCGGTGCAGCAAGGTCTTTTCAACTCTCTTAAACTATTCCTTAGCCTTAATTTGCCTGTCTACCGTTTTGAGCATTATTTGGAAAATCATTCATGGAGACGGGAATTTTGTTTTGAATGAAAAAAACACCAAGGCGCAGCGAATCATGCTACCCGAAGCAATCGACTTCATGGCGACGTGGAATTCGACCAGACGGTCCATTTTTTTCATTGAGACTTCAAAAACAGGGACTTTAAATGCTCGGCAGGCGTGCGCTATCGAGTCCACGGCAAGGAACAACCCCAACTCTAATATTTTCCTCATTCTGCTGGACCCACCTGAAAATCCGATCCTGATGAAGCAAGAAATGGTGCAATCCGTTTTCAGATTCCACAAAAACATCCAGGTGCTAACGACCACTACGGATGAGTTCTTAAAAAACTCGCCTGTTGAAAATTTGAAGGACCTAATGTGGGAGAGCAAATTTGCGACAGCGCACACAAGCGACGTCACAAGAGTATTGACTGCCCTAAGGTATGGACATGTTTTATTAAAAATTTAAAATCTGAGCTTTCTACGCGTTTTTTTATTGGTCACGTTGGTTAGGCAACAGATTATTATTTGATGAAATCACAATAACTTTTACTGTTTTCAAATAATTTCGGAAACAAACGCAAATATATGATAGATTTTACTTCAACAAACGACATTTCAATGGGAAAACACACATACTTTTAACCTGTGATTGTTATTCAACAATTACAAAAACAATTTTAATATTACAGTTATTTTTACTAGATGCATCGTCAATTGAAAAGATAAAGAATATAAAGATTGAAGCAAAGATAAAGAGAGTTAAAAATCCCCTTAAATAGCAAATGAAAATAATTTCTTGTATCAAAAGATTTAGCTTCCTTTGTATTTTTTTTCTCACATTAATTTTACATTATGATGTGAAGCAAAATCCTCTCGACTAAAACCTTTAAAATTTCAGATTTGGTGGAATATATCTCGACCTAGACTTTATCATTCAGCGTTCTTTAGAAGAACTGCCATTGAACTGGGTGACCATCCAGGACAAGGAGTTCTGCGCGAGTGGAGCATTTGGATTAGAGAAGGGGAGTCGAATTGCCAGAGAAATGTTAGAGTACTTGAGTAAATCGTATAGCACTGTTGATTACACCAAAAACGGCCCCAATTCCTTCACGCGAATGCTGGAGCGCGAATGTGGCGTTGAATACGCAAAAGTGCCCACCGATGGAAGATGCCGCGACCTTGTAATCATTCCACCCGAAGGTTTTCACGCCGTACCATGGAACAATTGGACAAAATTCTATATCCCGGAGGCGGCTCCTGAGGTCATGAAAACGGTCAATCAGAGCTTTGGCGTGCATTTTTGGAACTCTCTCAGCCAAAGGGCTCTCGTTCAAGTTGGATCGGACCAGGCTTACAGCCGCTTGGCCAGAGAGCACTGCCCTAGGTCCTACTGGAACTGCGACATCTTTTGATATTATGGCTGTTTATTATGTGTTAACGAAAATACAAATGAATTAAAATAATTGTTTTTAATTAATTATGCAAGTAGGCACCATGAGAAGGTGATTTTTCAAGAAATCTTTATTTTACTAATTTGTTTGGAAAATTTCAACTAACGTGGAGCTATTTTTATTTTAAGTAATTTTATTTCACCATTGACGGATTTATGTTATAGAGAGCATAAAATTTTAGATGTAGAGGTTAAAGATAAACAGTAAATAAATGAATATTTATGAAGGTGAAATCAATGATTTAAGTTTGAACTTTCATGTTCTCAAAATTTATTTTAAGCATAGAAATTATAGTTTTTTTAACTATAAATTTTTTTTACTACATTCAGTTTTGTATTTTGTAATTTTTTATTAGTTTTAGTTGGCTTCTAAGTAAAAAAAAAAATATTTTTTGGGCCTAAAAATTTCAACCTAATATTAAAATTATTCCCTAATTCTCACTAAAAAAAAAAATGTGAATTTTTAAAATTTCTTTTGGTTTACATGATTCTACAAAAAATATTTAATTGGTTTCCAAAGAACATGCAACTAAAAAATGTTTTCGTTTTCCATTTCTTCAAATTAATCTCAATTAAAATCAGAAAAACAAACTGTAGATGAATCTACAAGACTGCAAACAATCCCGAGATGGGAAATCTGGGCCGCTGGGCGGCCCTGGAGGCGAGAAATGGGCTCGGCCGGGAAAAGAAAGGGCCTCAAGATGACCCAGACATAAAAGCAGCCAGAGCTTTCTGCGGGCGTTGTTTGCCGGCTCTTAAAGTTAACAACCTGCATCATGTCATCGTGGTGGAGCGAAATCCTCCTCGAATTTCAGTGGCCGTGCTACAGATGTAACCGCGCCGCTCGTGATAAGAAGCGAGCAGCCTCCTTTTCTTACAACCGCCGACGCCAAACTGGCAGAAATAAAATTTCTGCACAAATATAAAATGCATCTCTCTCTTTTCTTCTTTCCCGGCCGACAACCGGGACGGCTCGCTTTTTTGCTCTCGCTCTGAGCCGCCTTTTGTTTCCACGTCTTCTTTTCTGCTCGAGAGGCATTGCTTCCAGCCAGAGGATGCTCGCAGATGAAAAGATTCTGAGGCGGCTCTCTGCTCTCAATGAATGAATGGCTTAATTTTTGCTCGCAAAAGTATAGATATTGTGCTGCTGCCGAAAGAAAGGAGCCGAGCACTCGCTCCTTTCTGCTCTCTTGTCCTCTAGAGAATAACTTCATTTTGACGGTCCAACGGAAAACGAAAAAAAAATTATACACATCCATGGCTTTTACGCTCTTTGTAACTTTAAAGTTCACCAAAAGTTAATTTCACTGTAGAAAAATTAATTTTTGTTAGAATCAAAAAAATTCCAAATCCGAGTGTCTAAATCTAAATTGTATTTAAAATTTACTGAATTCACTCGAACTTTTATCATAATATTACTTTTTATGAAAAAAGCAGTATTGTAATTTTTTAAATAAAATCATTAGAACCAACATAAAAAATTTGTATTTTTTTATGAGTGCTTAAAATAAGATGATTTCCTGAAAAAATCCGAGTGCAGAGGGTGAATGATGTCTCTTGTCTCCTTCTGTGAAATACACGTACTAGGAAGCGAGTGAAAATTTAGTATGATAATCAGGCCAGACGACATTGTCTAGGTTTTTGCTTCTCTCGCAGCAAACAAGCTTTTGCAGAGGCGTCTCTCTGCTCTTCTGTTTTGCTGCAGCCCTTGCTCGCGCAACATCATTTTGCCGGCGAATATCGCTCGCCAGGCTGTCACTTATTTTGCGAAAGACGCGCGAGTGGAGATGAGCAAAGTGTTTTCTTCTTTTCTTGCGCCGCCGTCGCGCTTTTACCAGAGAGCGAACCTCATTCTTTCGCCTTAAAATACACTCTCCTTTATCCGAGGCACGATTTCGCATCTTTGCAACCGAGATGAGAGCTCACCGAGTCGCGAAATGCAATCCGCCCTTTGCTGGCTTTTTCTCTATTTGCGAGAAAATTAGAATTTCCGTTTGCCTACACGAAGACACCTGAAGCAAGGAAACAAAACTGATTTGTTTGCTGAGCCTCTGAAAATGGAAACATGATGATCAAAATTTTCCAGCTTTCGAGTAAGATATCCCTGATGGAATATTTGTCTTTTGGTCATATTATTATTTCGGAATTTGAATTATTATAATTATTTATATTCAATTTTTGTTTCTTTAAAAGTATTTGTAGCAACTCTTCAAGAAATAAATTAGGAGATATATTATACATACCATTGTACCATTGATCAATTTATTTCCTAATCAATCAATGGGAGCTTTATTCAAAATTTGATCAGCAAATAATTACAATTTGGCTTTATTCCTCTCACCATTAAAAAAATATCATAGCCGTATAGTCAAAAATTCTCTTTTCTCGCAAATCAGGATAATTAATATTTCATAATTAAAAAGCAGCGACGAGCGGCTCGCCGCGCGCTGTTTATGTAATTTTAATAAATTTAATGAAGCCATAAAGAAGCGTGCGCTCGCAAGCTCGGCGCAATTTTCAGCCAACCCTTTCCGCGAATGGCATGTTTGCGCAAATGAGAAACGCGAGAGAGATAAGCTCCTCTCTCTCTCGGCAGGCGCTTTAGTTTTCCCTGCCGAGCAGAAACACCACTTTTATTGCGGGCGATAACGAAATAAAGGCATTTTTCTGCCTGCTAATCTGACAAAGTGCTGCTCCAAATATTCCTTAATGTGATCAGAAATTCTGCGGAAGGATCGTAAAAATTTCGCCATTTTTCTCGCATGCTCTGTTTTAAAAATATTGCTCGCGGGCGCTTTTTAGAGTAAAATTTTCTCCCGTCGTCAAGGCGCGGTTTTTCATTATAATGAGCCGATCGTAAAAAGCAGCTCATTATTTCCTGGTGTCGTTTTCTTTTACGTCCTTTTTATATGTCATATCTAACGAAAATCATAAAATTTAAATGGTGGCTGCAGAAATTGACCCTTAGAGGGTGACAAGGGACGTTAAAGCGATCAACTTGTGCGCGCGGACAGCCCTTTTGGGATTAATGAACGTAACGTGCCCCCAAAGCTCTCGAGCGAGCTCTTTCCATCATCTACATAGATGCACATTTTTATCCACTGCGTTTGTGGAAAAATCTGAAAAATAAATTGACGAGACACGTTTTTGCAAGTTGAGTGTTTTTCTTTTCCCGTCGCCAAAATAGTTGCCCGTGTGCGCGCGTCACCGACGAAAATCCGCCCACGGCTGTTAATCAAATGACTATTCAGGCCAAATGCACGGAAATTGTCGCAAAGTCTGACGCCCGCAGCCGAGTGGGCGGACGGAAAGAAAATCCACAGCATAAAAAGCGCGCAAAACAGCTCGGGGTGACGCCACTACATCTATTTCTGGTTTGCATGTTTATCATCAGTTAGCAGACTTCAACGCGAATCGAACTGAATTTAATAATTTTTATATTATTTTCCATTGAGAATTATGTAGTCTATAAGTGATTTATTTGCAGTCTGGATTTCTGCAAAGTATTTCCTTATTTTGATGATTTTTGCATAAAAGAGTATTTAAAAATTAGGAATTGGGTAATTTAAAAAGAATTAAGGTTAATTAAAAAGCACAAAAGGCTTCATATTTAAAAAAAATTATTATTTTCATTGTTGTAATCAATCAATTGAAAATTAGAAGTGAGTAGTATCAAAAGGAATTTATTGTGCGTTCCGAAAAGCAATTATGGAGTGATTTTTGATATCAAATTATTTCACTTTGAGCTGTTTTATCCGAGATTTTTTCAATGTTCTATTTTATGAATGACATAGATTTCAAGGGCAGTTTTTTCCGGATGCTATAAGGGGTCAACAAACCACCAAAAGAGTGTTTATATTTGCTTATTAAAACGTATTGTAAAAAGCTGAATATGATTTTAAAAAAATATTGTAACGAAAACTTTTAGCTTTAATTTATTGTGCAATGGATTTTATTTGATATAAATATTTAAATCAGTTACAAAACTAGCACATGCACATTAATTCATTTTTAGCAAAATGGCTCCGAAGGAAATCAATATTTTTCCTACTACTATATTGTCCACAACTTAACAAACTGAAACCAATATATGAATTTTCAATTAATCAAATTGTTAAATGGAATTTTTAATTTGTCAAATAAGATTATACAAAATTATCACATGGGTTCTATTATGCCCGCATTTTTAAATACAAAACATATAACACATGAACAGAAATTCTTAACCGATATTTTTCCTAAAAAATTGAACATTTTGATTCATATAAAAGAAGAATGAATTCTCATAAACCACCAATTACTGAAAGCGAATCGACACAAATCGGAAATCTGGCCGGAAAATAGAAAAGTCCGGTCGTTGCGGCGGCGACGACGACGGCAGTGCAGCACCTTGCCATTTTGAGCGACGGGCACGGAAAAAGGCCGTGTTTTCCAGTCGGGTGCACAATTCGGCAGTCTTAATAGCACACGATCGTTGGAGGGCACTAAGTGGATCTTGTGCACGGGAGCAGCTCAGCGCAGCAACTTGTGCTCGACGGCGCGCGAGAACCTGCACCTATCCACCTTTTCGCGGAAAATTCCTTCCGGCGTTCGCGGAAAGAGCGCCCGGTCGATTTCCAATTGGATATCTGCGACATAATTTGGCGACATGTCAAGAGCTGATAATATTTTGTCGTTTAGACAGGTGGAGCGCAAACTTCAACGGATGTGTTGTGATCGGCTTGCAAGAGCACTTCAAACATTTGTTATCAGTTAATCACTCACAATCAGCTTAAAATCATAAAGTGTGTGCAAATAAGTCAGATTTTGTCCCAATAGATATGAATTAAAAAAAATCTGAACTAATTATTTTGCCTTATTAAAAATCCCCCTAATTATTTATAATTATTTCTCGCCTCTTCATTATTGAATATTTTTCATTCTTTTTTTTTTAAATAAACTGCAATTATTTTTATCATTTATATTTAAAATTAGTAAAAATAAAATAAGCCTCTTAGAAGTTGCTCGGAAAAATTATAAAATGTAAGCATTGTAAATTGTATTACCATTTTTGTATGTTGTACACACATGTGTTTAATAAATATTTTGATGATGATATTTAAAATTAGCAGATTTATATAATGTTGTAATTTTACTTTCATCCCATCTTGGATGAATAAAAAAGTAGATTTTGCGCCACTAAAAAATCCCAGTTCTTGTTATGATTTAATTTAATTATATAAAATCGTACAAAATACAGAATCTAAGCCAAAAATTTGCACATCCAGCTTTATAGATAAAGAAAAGAAAAACAAAAATAATCTTTTCTTACTTTTCCATGTTGTTTCTTGATGAATTTATATTCACTGTTGTAAAATATTCACCCTCTGCTGAAAACCAAAACACTAAAACCGGCTGAGGTCTCATTTTTAAATTTTCATATTTAATCTAGGCTTGGTTAATAGTGTGTATGGCGGGTAGCGTGAAATTCAATCATCCGGCGTTGCAGCAAGAGACATTAAAAAGTTATAGGGTCTTGCGAGCGAGGGGCGCGATTCGGAGGCGCGGTAATGAGGGCGGTAATGATGCGACGATGAATGTTTTTATGCAGCGGCAAATAAAAAGTAACGGGCGCGGAGCACTACTTATTTTTGAGTCATTTATTTCAAATGGCGAGTGACACAGAAAAATGGGCGCACGCGGCAGGCGCACATAATAAACGATTTGATGCAGAAAAAAGTCGCGTCGCGCCGGCCAGCAGCGCGTCAATGAGAGGAGACGCACCCTGCAGAGTAATAACAAGAGCTCTCCAGCCCATTTGAATGATGATGTAATAAAACGAGAAATAATTTGCGCGCCGCTCGCTCGCATTTTGTGGAGTGCGTTTCCTTATGTCGCTCGCTCGTAAAACGCGCGCGCGCTCATTACGCCGGATTTGCCGCTTTCGTCCGGCGAGTATCATCATCACATTTGCATAACCGTGCCTCTCCTCAGCCGATGCGAAACAAACTGCTCAAGCAATTTCCAAAAGAAAAAGGTTTGCTTTTCAAGTAGAAAATAAAGATGATTAATATTTTCATAATTAAGTGTATATTAATTATTTACTTAAAATTCTAATAATTTTTTAAATATAAAATTACTATCAGGATACCTACTACAACATATGTTTATGATTTCTTAAGCCATATGTTAAAAACGGCTGGAAATTTTGAAAAACTGTGCACAAACAAGGTTAGATTTTAATTAAAAATAAACTTTTTTCTCTGTAGTAACGTCTTTAAAATGGAAAAGCATTCTGATTATATTTTTTTATATATATAAGTTTGCATTGTATGCAAATTCGTCACTTTTTAATCGGAGCAAGCGTTTGAATTTCAAATCATTTCAAATATGTCAAATCTTTTTTGTTGCTTTGAATCTTTTATCGAATCGCTCAAAAGGTCCAGCGGAATTCCAGCAGCATATTATAGCGCCAAAAGCCGAACATAAAATTAATATCGAGCGCCTGGAATTGGGGAGCGGTCGTTTCATTGGTCAGGGGTTGTGTGTTTTCAGCAGGGATTTAATTGTCAATAAAGCGGCGGCGCCAGTGAACGTGCCGACTACGAAAAGAGCCTCGGCAAAATTATAAAATGCGTTGTGTGTTCACGTCAACGCTCTAATTGTATGGAGGCGATGCATATTTGATGGCGAAAGCAAAAAAATTTGTGATTAATTTTCAACTTGTGAGTGCTGCATACCTAAAGTTAATTCTTTTTTTACATTTTGTTGCTTTGAATGTGAAAAGTGAGATTTTATCTTATGTAAGATTTGTAAATTAATTTTATCCATACCTTTATGAAAAAAGAGATGATACTTTTTAATATTAAAATGAATATCTTTAACAAGAGAAATCTGATTTTTTTTCACATGCATGTAATGGGATAACCAGGGTGTCGAATATTAGCTGAAAATAATTTTTATCTAGACTAAACATTCAATATTTGAAGTGGCTTTTATCAGCGCAAACATTGATGTGGTCCGCTTAGATGAAGTATATTTTTTGATAACTTTGTTATTGCTTCACGTATTTTATCCCACCACACATCTAAAAGATTATCGATCAAAATTTATATCACTTATGAGTTGAGCATTGGTGAGTGACGATGCAGCGTTTCGAGAGGAGGCTGAAATTTTTTGTTTTAGCTTTACTTCTTCTTCCAGCGACTTACTTTGGTGTTGGATATTTGAAGTGCAAAAGTCCTTTAGATTACGACATATATGTCAGTGGCGCAGACGTTAGTGGTGACTATTTTACTGAAGAGGAGGACATTAACGAATTCAAGGTGAGCCAATTTTCAAATGTGCTTAAAGTTCTCGATAATCCTGATGTATAGGTCACGGATGCATTAGAAACCTTGGAAGCACGCAGTTCATCTCGAAAAGCTATTTTCTTCATCGAAACGTCGAGAAGAGGGACAATAAATCCTCGTCAGATGTGTGCCATCGAGTCGGCGGCCAAAAACAACCCTTTCTCGGACGTCTATCTTCTTCTGCTTGACCCACCAGTCAACTCCAGTTTAATGAATAACGAACAATTGAAGTTTGTTGTCCGCTTCTATAAGAATTTGAAAATAGTGCAGACTACTTCGGAAAGTTACTTCGCTGGAACAGCACTGCAAACATTGGGGAGAAATGGCAAAATTGGCCAGAGCAATTACCCAGTAGAGCACATGAGTGATGTTATGAGAATATTGACAATTCTGAGGTGAATATTCGTATGTTAATTTCCAATTTTGTTTTTTTAACTGTTCTAAAATTTATTGTTTAAAAAAAGAAATCAAATTCAAAATGGTTTTCTTATAAATGAAACTGAAATTGAATAAATTAAAATTTACAGTTTCCACTGTAACTGCAGGGTTATAATATTGTAATATTTTATTTCATAAGTTTTAATATTTTAATAATTAATTCTATTCTCATAACATATTATTTTTTCAGATTTGGAGGCATTTATTTCGACCTGGACGTGATGATCCTACGCTCTCTAGAGACTTTGGCAGAAAATTGGGTTTCATTTGAGACAGAAGACGCATGCTCAAGTTCTGCATTTGGTTTCCAAAAGGGACAAAAATTGGCTCAAAAAATGGCTGTCGAGCTGAATAGGAACTTTGATGGGGATGAGTGGGGTAACAATGGACCAGGACTATTTACTCGCATGTTGAAGCGCGAATGTGAGATCTCAGCTAAAAGTAAAACAAGTGAAAAGTGTCCAGATATTACTGTGCTACCGCCGTCAGTTTTTCATTCAATCGAATATCTCAGTTGGCAACTTTTTTTCGATAGAACTGCGCTCAGTCAGGTATATAGCAAGGTCAAAGACAGTCTAGGCGTGCATTTGTGGAATCACTTCAGCCACGAGGGTGTTGTAATTATAGGATCAAACCAACCGTACGGCTACTTTGCCCAAAAACATTGTCCCAGGGCATATTGGAGTTGCAACCAGATCTTTTAAAATAAATATTCTGTTCATTAATACAATTAAGAAAAATTCTTTGGACCTCAATTGCAAGACTTTAGTACAAAAAAGGTAAAAAACCATATCTAGCATAATTGTTTTTAATAATTATTGTTTTTTGTATGTATTTTTTTTATTGCAAATTTTGTTTTCCTGTATCTTTTCCCCTCAATTATATTGATTTGTATTTATGAATGTCTCTTTTTAGGAAATTTCCTTTATGTGATACATCAGTATTAAAATAATTTGCAACTAAACAGTAATAATTTGATTTTTTATTTAAAAAAAAAATGTAATTCAATAAAAGCTTATACACTTCAATTTTTTTTTGCAAGTTTGGTTCAATCAGGAATTTAAGCATTGCAGTTAATTTAAGTCTTGACTCGAGTGGATAAAATATTATAATTTTTCCATTAATTAATATATTTTAAACATTAATTATGTAATTATATGCATACTTTTTTTCATTTTGCTACATTACATGACTGCATTGTACTTTGAGAAGGATTTTATTTTTATATAATATTTGTTCCGGGATAATAAGATAACATCGCTATAAAAATGAATCATGCCATTACTTTAAGTAACCTTGCTCTTTAATCATAATTAAATAATAAATTTTTTTATTATTTTTTTAACTAAATTAAAAAAAATTAACAAATATAATATGGTTTAAAATATAAAAATCTTATTAACCAATTTAAAAAATAATAAATCTTCTGCGTTACATAGTTATACTTGCTGTTTGTTACTTTTGTCAAAAATCAGTGAGCAAAAATTTATGTAATCAAAACTAACAAAAAAATTATTTTTAAACACCTAAAAATTGTCATTGTCATTAAATTTTCTTAAAAATATCCCTCATTTCAAAAGCGTTTAAGTCTGAAATGATTGTTTAAAAGATAGGCATAATTTTCAAACAATTTCTTGGTAAATAATTCTTTTACTTAACGATTGCACCAATTAAAAACGGGGACAGACAATGGTGTTGAGCGAGAAACAAGTTTAATTGGTCGCTAGCGGGTGCAGGAGAGTAACGAGGTGATTTGGCCAGGCCCGAGGTGACACTCAGCACGTCTCCATTTTTCTTATTGCCGGCAGTAAAAAGAGAAAGAAATGGGCAGCTGAAATAAAGAGGCCATGCAAATCGACGGCGCGCAGCAAAAGATTGAGCAGAGGCTGCACATAAAACTGCGGCGGTGCTTTTTTATATGCCGGGTCCTGCCTGCCACTCTCGGCGGCGGGTAATAATAATATCCAGCAGGACCGAGGAGACAAGTTGCAGATTGCGGGGCTGGAAAATGATTGGCGAAGCAGTCTCTTTCGAGATTGCGGTCTAGGTGGCTTACGGCCGGCCCCCGGGGAGCCCTAGCCAACGCCCGGAGCGCGGCCATCAAAAGGGCCCGCGTGCAAAATAAGCAAACCGCAGCGGCTCCTCGTAAAATCGAGCGCCTGCCGATGGACAAACTGACTTTCACCCTCGCGCCAAAAACGAACGACCGAGGTGTCGCTAATTGAATGGACCTCTATTTCCGTCCACGCCCTGCTTCATAATAAAATAGTAAGTGTACTCAACAAATTAAAATAAAACCAGTGTAAGCATTTTCTGATATATTTTAATAAATAAAAAATCTATTACATGTAGAATTTAATAAAAACATTAGAATTAATTAATAAAAAGCTGGTTGAATTTTTTTAGTTGTATTTTTATTTTTGTCTTTTAATTAATTCAGTTGCAAATCAATTTTTAATATTAATGAAATTTGTTAACATGCTGTTTTAAATTTTTCAGAACTAAATGCACCACAATAAGAAATTTTTTTTTACTTTTTTCTAAAACACAAATCAGTAGAATATAAAAACAAAAGTAAGTTTCCTTCTCGTTCTAGCTTTGAAAATTGTCCTATGAGGCTCAAAATTATGTCTGATTTACTAAACGCCAAATCAACCGCATGCAGGCCGTGAAAAGGTCAATTTAAGATTATTTCTCAATTCTATAATACTGAGTGATTTTTTGACAGCATAGAAATTTTGGGGAGATATAAGAGAAAAATGTGGCGCTTCTACTTAAATGAAGATCAACAGTTATCTCCACGTCTTGGACAAAGATTTAATGTTTCCTGTGCACAGAGCGGACACGGTTTCGGCCGCGCTGTTATTTTTGATAAAGAGCCACGGTGAAAAATCGGCGGCCTACTTTGGCCGGGGAAAAACGAGAGTAAATATAGTGCGGGCATGTATCGCGGGCCGTAGATCCAGCTTTTGCACGGCTGGCTAGGCGGAGAGGGTGAGATAAATTAAGGGAAAACACCCACCACGGCCATTGTATCAGACAATGCAGAAGGATTAGGCTGGCCGGTCGGGGCGCCTTCATTGCCGCAACCCGCAACCTTTGCTGTATAAATATTGCTGCGTTGGCATTATTGCAGGTAAATCTCGAACGTATATTCCGTTTTACAGCTCCCGTGCACTTTAATCCTTATTTAAAATTGCGTTGCCGCCGTCGGCTAAATATTTGCCGCTCTGTGCCTCCGCATACGAATGATTTTGCTGCTTTTATTATTTGCGCCGAGCACGACCCGGATTTGTGCACAATTGCGAATGAATGCGAATTAGAGCTCAAAGTTTATTTGCATTTATATTGCGTTCAGACTTGCACTGATGTATGGATACAGATTTGTATTTGATCCTCAATTCGTGCTATCTTTATAAATGCTTAAATGCTTTTTACCACATGAATTTCTGTGGAAAGCAATGGAATTCATATTAAATAAATAAATATCCCCATTTAACGTAAAAGAGGTCAGATTTATAAAAAATTATATGAATCAATTAAGGTTAAAAGAAAAAATATAAAGCTCTCTTTTATGTCTGGATATGTATTTTTTAACTTGCAATTTTGTTTCATTAAAAGTTATTTACCATTTAATAAAGACATAAGAAGAATATAATTTATAGTTTTTTTTTGTTTCTTTTATTTCTCTAATTTCTCATTTAATTTTGTACAATTTAAGTATAATTTTTGCTTTCATTTTTATTAAATAAATATGAATATAATTTTCACCTCTATAAAATCTCTTTTTTTTAATATTTTATAAGATTAGAAAAGAAAACAATTAATATATTAAAGCTCAAGTTACCAAACCTATGTTTACATGATCACATGGTGTGACATGAAAAACTTGTTTCATTTGCTAATTGCACCCTGAATGTGAATATTTTGCGATATGTAAATATTATATGATACATACATACTTTTTACTCCCACTTATTCATTTTCATATATTTATACCGATTTATAGAAAATAGCTTGAAAGTTCAAACGGAGCCGAATTTCCATACCGCTCTGGCCGGCTGATGAGAGCAAACACCTCGTCGCTTTTTGTGCTCAAGGTGAACTGGTCACGGCTGCGGGCAGAGGCGTTGCATATTTGAGCGCACCTCACATTTACACGCAGCATCTCCATCTCTCAGAAACGAACCACCCGCCGCCCTATTCAAAAGAAACTCCCCCGCACTCACTCTTTCACCCACCTCGGCCGCATTTCAATGAGTGAGAGAGACTTTGGTCCACACAGAATCTCTTCTGTTTACTTTCGCGCCGAGAGGAAGGTTTATTTTTTTTTAGCAGTTCTCTTTTTCCTGAGAGTGATACATTCCTTTTCAACTTAAAACAGCTTCTCTATTTCCCTCCGCTGGCTCTAGAAAGATGTGTTTTGATTTGAGAGGTCAAGATTACAATGAAATTTAAATTGCGTGGATTTAATTTATATTACGAAAACACAAGCCAGCGAGAAATATATTGAGATTTGCATGACATTGCCTGGAAAAATTATTACGTAGCGGGCAGAGAGCCATTTAGCATTTGTAAAAGCCAATCAATTTATGCGGCGCTTGCAAATTGCATCTCTGATCGTTTGCGGTCGCCGCATTTTCCTCCTCCGAGAAGAATAAATTTCAAAGGCTTGTACTCGGAGAGAGCATCATTACGAGCAGAGTGCCGTGCTAATAGCGACGTGCATAAAAAACGACGTCGTGCCTTGCACCTCACCAAGACGCATTAGCACGAATCGCGCACACGCCTCCTAGGGCGACAATTAATCTGCTCAAATGAGAGGTGCGTGTTCTTTCTGTCTCACGACTTTTAAATAATGGATCGAGTTCAATCACATGCAGCAGCTTGGGTGCGATTTTCAAAACGGAATCGATTCAAAGTTCACTAACATTTCACATTTCAAACAAAAGATTTATGTTATAATAAAAATTTCATCAAGCAAATTTAGAAAATTTCATTGTTCCTCTTATTTTCCTTTAAAAATTTCCTTCAATAAATAGAATGAAAATTCATCGGGTCAATATTTACAATTCTTCAATTCTTTGTTTATTGCGAGTTAAAAGTAAAACTGTTATTGCAGTGCGTACTTTACTAAAAATAAAAAGAAAGAGATTTTTGATTACTGCTGAAATAAATAAAAGGAGAGCGGTTGGAAATTCTTTTGTAATTTAGAGACGCGTGGGGAGTGCGTGTAAGAAATGCTGACCATTTCTATTCATTAAAGCGGCGGTGCTTGCAGAATGTGCGGCCGCACACGACAATAATAAAAAAGCGAGGAAATCTTTATGGAGCTCTCTTGCGGCCGGCGCACACTCTGCGCCGCTTGCATAAAGGTGAAGCATTTTGAGTTTCAAGTCACGTGCCCCTTGTTGTCTCCTTATACAGCTTTAAAAAGGAAGGAGCCTTACCTTTTTTCCTCCTTGTGCACGTATACATAAAGTGGAATGAATCTGTACCCAAAAGTTATAGTACCGAGGGAGGGTGGTGCTGCCTCGGCTCGCACACACGCACAATGGGCCTTATTTTGACTCGCCGCCTGCTGCTGCCGCCGAGAGACGCGTGGGACGTTTTTCCTCCGCCTGTCGCTAGATAACGGCGTGTGCACCGCTTTTTTAATAAAAGCAGCAGTGCCGCAGCGAAAAACGTCTCCAGCTGGATTTCGCCAGGAAATTAGACGATTTAGAGGCCAATTTCGAGCCCGGCGCTGCTGCAATTTTCAAATGGAATTCTGCGCGACACATAATTTTGCCGCTGAGAAAATAGAAAGAGGGAAATAATCTAGCCTGGCTTTGCAGAGTGCATTGCTCAAATTTAGGTTAATAACTTGTTTAGGCCAAGAAAATTTCATTGCTCAGCTTTTTATGCAAATTGAAAGATTTTGGTTCATTAATTGAAATATGGTTTACTGAC